AAAAATTTACGTTTAAAAAATCCAGGTGGACGAGGAAAAATTTACGTTTAAAAAATCCACTCCTATTGAAATGGAGGTCTGTGGAAATCAGGTTAGGTGGTCATTAAACAAATTTATTTTAAAAATCCACGCCTATTGGTCAGGTGGTCATTAAAAAAATTTATTTTAAAAAATCCACACCTATTGGTCTAGGGGTCAATGAAAAATTTACTTTAAAAATCCACGCCTATTGGTCAGGTGGTCATTAAAAAAATTTATTTTAAAAAATCCACACCTATTGGTCTAGGGGTCAATGAAAAATTTACTTTAAAAAATCCACGCCTATCTGTCTAGAGGTCAATGAAAAAATTTACTTTAAAAAATCCACACTTATTGGTCTAGAGGTCAATGAAAAATTTACTTTAAAAAATCGTCGCCTATTGGTCTAGAGGTCAATGAAAAAATTTACTCAAACCAATCCACGCCTATTGGTCTAGAAGTCAATGAAAAAAATACTTTAAAAAATCCCGCCTATTGGTCTAGAAGTCAATGAAAAAAATACTTTAAAAAATCCCGCCTATTGGTCTAGAGGTCAATGAAAAAAAAAAATACTTTAAAATATCCACGCCTATTGGTCTAGAGGTCAATGAAAAAATTACTCTACAAAATCCACCCCTATTGGCCAGGTGGTCAAGGAAAATTTACGTTAAAAAATCCACGCCTATTGATATGGAGGTCTATGGAAAAATTTACGTTAAAAAATCCACGCCTATTGGTCATGTGGTCGAGGAAAAATTGGCGTTTAAATAATCCACGCCTATTGGTCAGGTCATCTGTGGAAAAATGTACGTTAAAAAAATCCATGCCTTTTGGTCTAAAGGTCTTTGGAAAAATTCACGACTTCTGGTCAATTGGTCAATAAATAATTTGCATAAAAAAACCACGCCTATTGGTCTACGAGTTGATGAAAAAATGTACCAGAATACTCGTGCTGTTTGTTCGTTAAGGCATTTAATGACCATAAAATAATATAAAGCATACTTTTAGGCGTTTGCATTATTATCTTCATTTATCATCAATTTTCTTTATTGTTTTAAATATCCATTAGTTAAAATCGTTGTTTGCCTCTTTGTTGTCGGTCTTATCGCCAACTAATATTCATTAGAAGATAATGAAGTAAATATTTCAAAACTCTTTCATTTACAACTTACAGTAGCAGATAACATTGTTTATGATCAATTATCAAAATATGCGGCACAGTGGGAACTCTATACATATAAAAATTTAAATTTGTGGAATAAATTGTATAGAAGTATTTTTTAGAGGGTTCCGACTACAAAAAAATGTTCTCAACAAAATTAAAAAAAATTAAATTATTTTCTAGAAACAACAATGTTGCTTGAGATATATTTCCCCACAGTGCTTGGCAAATCACCAAATGAAAAGATGCACAATCGAATTTTTAACAGATAACGTTTAACAGCAACAACAATCAACATTTCCAAGAACTCTAATAAATTGGTTACATCGTCAATATCAATGACAGCGATAGCACCAATGATATAAGAACCCTATCCCCACCTTGAAATGGAGAAATACTGAAAATAAGACTCAAGCTAGACACAACATGTCATTCCGAAATATTTTCTTATTGGTCACTGTGTTTGCCATTGGCATTCAAGCCAAGGCCATTGAGAATAAAGAAAGCATAACACAAGTTTTGACGGGACGCAGCTCCTTCGATCGCTACACTTTGGGTCAGGAAGTTGATGGTAAGCTGGACAACCTTGATTTTTCTTTTAATTTTTAATTTGTTTTTGGTCCTTCAGGTGCCAAAATCCTCTACACCTATCAATATGAGCAATCCTACGATGATGTCCAGCCGGAAATTTCTTTGGACTATGACTACCCATCGGCAGATGCTCAAGTGAATAAAAATGCAATCGTCACCCAAGTGGTTCTATATGTTGAGGCCTCGGATGATGCCACCACACAGGCTTATGTTACCGCAGGCGGAATTGGACAAAGTTCGATTTCCATACAAATCGTGGCACAGAATTCCAATCATTTGCGTTATATGGTTGTTGTTTATGGAAAATCGGTGTAATTTTTATCAAAAAAAAAACATTTTTCGAATGAAAAAATAATTACTTGGCAAAATATATATTATAAAACAGTGGCTATATAAACACGAAGAGAGAAATTTTCCTTTTAAAAAATTCCAGGTCTGTGGAAAAATTTACGTTTTAAAAATCCACGCCTCTTGATATGGAGGTCTGTGGAAAAATTTACGTTTTAAAAATCCACGCCTCTTGATATGGAGGTCTGTGGAAAAATTTACGTTTTAAAAATTCACGCCTCTTGATATGGAGGTCTGTGGAAAAATTTACGTTTTAAAAATCCACGCCTCTTGATATGGAGGTCTGTGGAAAAATTTACGTTTTAAAAATCCACGCCTCTTGATATGGAGGTCTGTGGAAAAATTTACGTTTTAAAAATTCACGCCTCTTGATATGGAGGTCTGTGGAAAAATTTACGTTTTAAAAATCCACGCCTCTTGATATGGAGGTCTGTGGAAAAATTTACGTTTTAAAAATCCACGCCTCTTGATATGGAGGTCTGTGGAAAAATGTACGTTTTAAAAATTCACGCCTCTTGATATGGAGGTCTGTGGAAAAATTTACGTTTTAAAAATCCACGCCTCTTGATATGGAGGTCTGTGGAAAAATTTACGTTTTAAAAATCCACGCCTCTTGATATGGAGGTCTGTGGAAAAATTTACGTTTTAAAAATCCACGCCTCTTGATATGGAGGTCTGTGGAAAAATTTACGTTTTACAAAATCCACGCCTCTTGATATGGATGTCTGTGGAAAAAGTTACTTTTACAAAATCTACGCCTCTTGATATGGAGGTCTGTCGAAGAAGTTACTTTTACAAAATCCACGCCTCTTGATATGGATGTCTGTGGAAAAATTTACGTTTTAAAAATCCACGCCTCTTGATATGGAGGTCTGTGGAAAAATTTACTTTAAACAATCAACGCCTAATGATGTGGAGGTCTGTGGAAAAATTTACGTTTAAAAAATCCAGGCCTATTGGGTATGGAAGTCAGTGGAAAAATTTACGTTTAAAAAATCCACGCCTATTGATATGGAGGTCTGTGGAAAAATTTACTTTAAACAATCTACGCCTAATGATGTGGATGTGGTCTGTGGAAAAATTTACTTTAAAAAAAACTGGAGGTCTTTGGAAAATTTTTATTGAGAGGTCCATGATTTTCACTTTTTTTTATTTATTGATTTTTTAAACCAAAAACAATAACCATATAACGTAACTTGGCCGTATTGTAACCGACAATTCTTAACGAAATCGAACTTTGATTAATACCACCGGCCGTAACAAAGGCAGCGCTTGTACCCTGTTCATCAGTTTCCACCAACAATAGAATTTGTGAAATCTTATTGCCTTGCGGATCATTGTAGGTATAATTTAAATTGATTTCACGCTGAGCTCTGCTGTAGCTATAGTAATATTGATAGGTGATCATAATATAGGCACCTGAAAAAAAAAACAAATTTATTATAAAAAATTGAAAAAAATATAATTTTAGAAAAAAATAATTTCAAAAAATATTACCTCGAACCTCTTTTCCCAACCCATAATGATCGAATACCCGCTCCGCAACATCCTTGCTATTGTCGGCAGCTATTTCTTTTGCTGTTATCGAAATTAGAACAACAACAAATATTGTGGTTTTGAAAATTGTTTTAAACATTGTAAGCGGTTTGGAATCTTTTGCAGAATAAGGTTTCATTGTCGTTGGCGTTTTGATATTTATATGGATTTGTTTACCACTTTTAAAAAGTAATAATAATTTAAAAAATTAATTATTTCAAAGAAGTCGTGATACCAATTTCAAGTAGGTGATATTAAAAAAAGACAAACAATTCTACTTTTACAAATTTTCTCAGAACTACACACGTGCCTTTTTACTTTTTTGTGATAGTACTTTTTCCCCAAACGATCGATAGACCCAGCTTATTTAATTTAAATTTGTCATTCCCCTTGCAACAGAAACCTTCACATCAATAAGCGTAACAATAGCAGTGGATTTTTTAAACGTAAATTTTTCCACAGACCTCTATAGCAATAGGCGTGGATTTTTTAAACGTGAATTTTTCCACAGATCTCCATAACAATAGGCATGGATTTTTTAAACGTACATTTTTGCGATCCAAATGTAGCCCAATAAGTTCGGATTTTTTTAAATTACATTTTTCCAAAGCCTAAATTTGTTAAAAAAATTTTTCAAAATAACAAAAAATTGGGAAAAATTAATTAATTTTAACATAATTTCTTTTATTAGTAGTGAAATATCAATTAACTTTTTTTAATACATTTTTTTAAATTTATTTTTATTTTTTATAATTTTTTTCTCTTTTTTTCGTTATAAACATTTTTGAGTCGTGTTGGTTTTTTTTTCGTTTTATGGCATTCCATACATTGTATTTTTTTCTATTAATTAAAATGATCACTACCAAGAAAAAAACACTTTCATACATACATTTGTTTTTAATTAATTACATTATTTAATAGTAATAATAAAAAAAATTAAAAAATAGAAAAAAATAAACTTTGTAAATGAGAAACATATCTACATACTTAAGTTTAAGCGTTTTATTTTTTAATCATCTTTTCATCGAACTGTTAGGTATTTCAGGGTGTTCGTTCGTTCATTCGCTCGGAGAACCTAGGTTTGCTGTATCGATTCCTTTTTTTCCACTTTATTTGGTTTCAGTTTTAGAATCTGTTTGAGTATATTGGTAGTAGGTTTCATTGCTGGAAGTAGTTTCCCCTCAAGAGTAGTGATAGCGAAACTTTCGACAACAACAACAAACACTTTTTTGTCAAAAATAAACAAAAATTTTTGCTCATTTCTTTTTTTGTTGATGACGAGGATTAAGGAGGCTTCAGACGATGCGACATTGATGCTAATGACTTAAATCCAAATTTGTTTATGCTATGACCTCAGCCCCAAGAGGGGAGTTGTTTCGGCTGCAGCTGAGTCGGATCTTGCCGTTGTCACTATGGTGGCCGTTGAGGTACCTGGCCTTGCAATTCTTACATCTGTATCGGGATCTTGTGGTTGATTACTATCTCCTCTTCCATCTCCCTCGGCTATAAATAAAGGATTCTCCTGTACAGTTTTGTGATGCATTTCATGTAAATAGAGAACACTGAGACACATATCAGCCTCTGTCAGATCCTGAGGCTTATCACAGGCGGCACTGGCCGGGCCGTAAAGACTGCATATCAACGATTGTGAGGGCCCATTGGTACTTCCCACCATTTTTGAGGCTCCCAATATTTTGGCATTATCTGTGCCGCCCATCATTCTTCGTGACATACTCATATTGTCCTGCATGCGTGAATGTTCCCCCAGGCCCTGTTGCAGCATTTGTTCAAAATAACATTGGCAGTGATTTTGATTTTGACCCATCATACCCTCCTCTCCATTGTGCATGGCATTGTGATGGAATATCAAAGACTTGGCAATGGAGGAATATTCATTTCCAATTGTTCCAAAGGAGATTAAACTTTCCGTCAGAGGATTCAAAGTAAACTCCTTTTTCTTCAGCTTACTCAAATCATTGATAGCATTCTGCCTTACCCCATTTACAAATTGCACAGCTTCCGGAGGCATTTGCCATTCAGGATTGGTCAGGGTAAAGCGTAACAAAGACAATTCGGTTTTACCATTATTCCCTGCCGTTTGCATCTTCTCTCCCACTGGCACGTCTGTGTGCAGGGAGGACATCTCTTCTGGCTGCCATTCGGGATTACCATGTTTACGTACATCCATTTGGGCAAAGGAACAAACATTACCCACTCCCCTCACCGAGACGGTAAAGCTGCGGAAAAACTTCACAATTTCCAAGGCCTTTGGGCGGAAAACAAACAACAACTGGAAGGGCGTAACAATGGGACTCAGTATCTCATTAATAAAATAGCTTGCCTTAAATTGAAAGAAATTTCCAAACTCGTTGCGCACCATTGAGGTGTGGGCTTGATTTTTCCAATTGGCTGGCAAATAGTGGACATGGGCCAATATCGCATTCATCAGCTGTTCCGGACACCATATTAAATTCTCATTTGGTATACAGTTGCGACAAACCAAACCAATGGCCGAGAGTAGGGTGATCAAAGTCAAAACATGTTCCACCTGGAAGACATATTCATCATAAATGCCCATGGCCAGGATCAGCAGCAACATTCCTCCGGTTATAAATAAAATATTCCGGGCAATCACTGCCAGCAACGGGGAGGAGAAGGAATTTAAATAACGATCTGCATATTCATAGGCACGATTAAGTCTGGCATCCAGTTCATGATCCAATTCATTGAAATGCCTCAAATACAAACGGCCATAGTTGGACCATGTCCTCATGCCCAAGGCACCCGGTTCCTTTTTCAATATATTCGCATAGGTAAAGGAGAAATACACCAATTGCCATATAAATATCACCGGGGCAAATACCAAATTTGCTATGGCCACCCACAAAATTAGCTTCGACAGTCGATTTGCCAGCTCTCTTTGATTCCCTCTCACCGAATAGTCATCATGTAGCTGCCAATTATTTTGAAACGGTGATCCTGGACTACGAAACAATATCAAATCAATATTGAACAGCAATCCTCTACTCAGTGTCACAACCTCCCCCACCACGGGCAGCGTGAAACGTACAGGCAGCAGATTCTTATTCATCAAGGCCACCAAGTAATTCTTAAAACGCAATATACGATGATAGATATCCAAATCGGTCAAATGATCTTTATCGATGCACATATGCTGTTCCGCCTGGACCTCACGCACCTTCTTCTTGATCTCATGCCAGGTGACATTATCCAAATTGCCATCCTCAATATGCAGCGCAGTGTTGTAGAACTTCTTGATGTCCCAATACTGGGAGATGTGATACAACACTTTTATAGTGCGTATTAACAAATACAGCGCGGCCACGAACAGTATCGAATAGGTAATGCCATTAAAATTGTCCACACACACATCCATCGGTATTATAACATCATCGAATGTTATCTTTGTGTGATTGTCCGGTGGTGGTCGATTGCCAAACAGTACATCATGATTGATACAATGGACGGCGAAGGTAACCAACCACACGACAAAGGCAAATTCTATTAGCTGGAAAAATTCCTCCAGTACGATGATGACAAAACCATGCTTCTGATGGTAGTGATACATTCGCGTAAAGAACGAATCCAAGTCCTCGATGTGGTTCCATCGTGCTCTATTAATTTCGGGTACTGTGTGCAAGAGTACACCACTGCTTCTTGGTGTGTCTTCCACTTCGTTCGCTTCGTAGTCATGACCTTCAGTCATAATTTTATGCTGCTGCTGCTCTTCATTTAGTGTCTTATAATTCACATTGGTCTGTGCCATCGACCCGCAATCTTCAGACGACGTCAAGACGTATAAAAATATTAGCAAATAACGGACGTTGTTGTTTGGAATCCAAATATATATTTACTCTCTACTCGATGTATATTCTATGCTTTGCTAGATGACTATTTTTCTTTGTTTTGCAGCAAAAATGAAAAACAACAACTGTATAACAGTTGACGGAAGTGTTATATGCAAATCAGCTGTTCAATTTGGTGGCTATATACGATGTGGTAACACTGTGTTGGGAGATATGGCAGCTGTGTACGACGAATGTGAAGGTAAGAGAATTCATTGATAACCAAGGTAGATATACAAGGTAGCCGCATCGGCGAATTTCTACAACAAACATCGCTTGTTGAATTTTGATATGTCAAAAATATTTTGCCAAAACAAACAGATTGGCAAAATTTTTTTACTCAAATTCTTGTAGAAACTGTTAATAAAAGTATTGCCAAAAAAGCTATTAGAAATTCGGAGATTTTCATTTATAATTTTGTTTTTTAATTTTTTGATTCAACATGACAACAACATTTTTGACATTTATTTGTCCAACAGCTGGCCCGATGCGGCTACCTTATTAAATATACCTTGTTGATAACCATTAAAATCAAAACAAATAGTATAGCCAAGTAGTTAGGGTTCTAAAGATCGAAAACCAGCAGCAACAGTTGTTATATAGGTATCTATAATCGTCGATAAATTGTTATCGATTGCATTAAAGAGTAAAATAACAAAACTTCTTATTATTAAAAAAACTTGTAAGACTGTTAATTTTTTTTAAAAGAATCTAGTAAAAATATGCTTATATTTAGACAGGTCAAACTTATTGTATCCTTCGCCAAGAATTGAGCATTAAAAATATTTTTTGAGTCAAAAGCAGGGTTTTATTGTAAATAATGTATATTTTGTAAATAATTATATTTGTATCGGATTTATTATGCAAAATAAATCTTCATAGAGGAGGTTAACCTGGTAACCTGGTTCATATGTAAATACCACTTAAGTCAAGATAATTTCAAATACAACCCTGCATTTGACCCAAAAAGATTGACTGGATTTATGTTTGTGTGGCAAATCGCGGTAAATTCAACTTGATTTAGGAACTGAACCGAGATAATGCATCATCACGAATTTGGCTTAAACATTCTCTAAAATTGGTCAATATTTTATTTTTTGGAAATATAGACCAGAAATACATTTACATTGTAGGTTAGGTTACACTTACAGAGTATATGGTCGATCGTTTCCCTATCTTCTTCATCCATTGATTCCCACTGCAGTGAACTATTATGATTCCCACAGTTAGCTTCTACTCTTTTTTTTCAATAGTAATCAACGATTTTGACGTTGTATTCGGCAGCGGGGTTACCAAAGTTTCTTTTGGAGGTTCCACTCTTGATTACTATACTACCGCCAACGGGAGCTTCCGCACGAGAGAGGTCTGCATCCTTTTGTGTCATATCTGACGATCACTTCTGACATAGAGTTTTCGACTGCGATATCAGCATCTAATGTACATGTCGTTTTACCTCGAATTACGATACAATATTAAATCATCTCAGTATCGTGGATTTGTTGGAAATCCTACGTTAAATCGATATACAACCCTGCCATCCAATGGAGACCAATTCCTGATATACATATGAAAATATTGATTGAGAAATTAAGGGCTAAACAGAATGTACGCGTTGAGCGTTTTTTGTTATCGCGTTAACGCACGCAAAAAGTTAAAATATATTTAACTCCGAGCGTTTGTGTTATCGTTCCCTTGTGGTTGTTGTATTTTCGATAACACATAACGCAACGAATGGGTCAACACGAGCATTCTGCTTGGCCCTTTACTATGAAACCAGTGAAACGAAACAACTATGAAACGTAAACAATTAACAGCTGATTGTCAACTTTATATCAGTACCAGTCTGAACGGGTAGAATTATCTGCATCGATTTTGAAATCGAGTCGATTTAGAGAGCATAATCTAAACGCGCCTATACAAAGTTGCATCATGACGGCAATAATAAGGTGATGTATCAAAACAAAAACATATGTTTTTATATTCTGTTTATATCTGTCAAATGTTATCTAGTAATACTTCTCATGGTTGGCATCATTCCATTCTATCATTCTCATAATTCGAATAGAAACTATGCATTTTGACAGTTAATCGGATATTCAGCTGCTCTAATAGAGTATCTATATATTTTGCTATTCCATCCTAGTATTAAAACCAGTGAGCGAAGCAGTATAGTCGGACAACAACTTCCACGACAATCGAACTTTCTGTGTTTGTATATTCTGAGCTTGGGCAATATTTCGCGATATTTGCACCCTCTTGACCGACAAGATGTTAGCAAATATTTCTAATATTCAGTAGAAGAGGGTTGTACTTGTCCAGATTCTCTTTACCGTGGGTTATGTTGGGCTTTCAATTGTGGCCTAAAGATCGACTCGAAAATAAAAACACAAAAAAAAAATAACTTTTCGGTCCACTTCATCCCAAAATTATTATCTGATCATCACCGTTGACCGTAACGGGAATTTCATGGAAAATTACAAAACGATCAGCGCTATATTTCCGCCCTCTAGTGTGGTAATGGGTTACTAAATAATATATAAATACGGAAGCACCTGTAAATATTTAAGTGTAACTTCCACGTCTGAGTATATACGACAAAATAATTGGTATCAATTTAAAGGTCAACCACTCCTCTTCGATACTAAATATTAACCGATCTTTTCCAAAAACAATAGGGGCCTTCATTGGCCAGAACTCATCGTACATGCAAAATTTCGTAAAGATTGGTCCATAACTGTGGCCTGTATCGTGTTTACAAATTATAATGGACAGACGGACGGACACACATGTCTAGATCGACTCAGCTAGCCGAGATATGACGATCGGTATACTTAAAGGTGGGTCTAGGACCAATATTTCGCGGCGTTACAAACTTTTGGGGTTGCACAAAGCTATAATACCCTGACAACATAGTTGTGTAGGGTATAATGATATGTCAGCTGATATTTGTTTACAGTGTAGAAGGCATAGTCTAAATGGGCTTAGGACATTTACTTTATTTTCATTATTGGCTCTATACGGTTATGTAACTTGAAGTACGTTCACATTGTACCGAATTTGGTTAACCCAGTGGGTTTAAATTGTCAATTACTTGGAATATATGTCAAATAAATCCTCATAAAGTATGTTAACCCGGTAAAAAGTTCTGATGTATTACACAAATATAAAATATTTGTTGGCTTTTTATTTTTTACCTGTAGATAATCATTTTTCCCAGTAACAGAAATTCATTTATTCAAATATGAACATTATTCCCACCGTTTTTCCTAATTACTACTGTTCTTCTTCCGTATTGCGCAGTTTCTCTAGAATTTAAAGAAACAAAAACGAACTTTGCAGATAAAAACCCTTGTATTTTCCCCCAAAACGAAATCTCTTCGGTAAACACAATGAAACAATAACAAAACAAAAAAAAAAACATTCTGAGTGTGGTCATTCACAGTGTACGGCTTCAAATGGCACTTAACCACGTATCATTTATTGGCGATCAATTTTTAATTAAAATAACATTGTCCAAAATCTTATCTATAATGAAGACCAAGGTATATAGTAAATTTTCTTTAAACGTCAATGTGGTATATGATGGGGATTAATAAGGCTTTGGTGTTTTTTGCAAACGTATTGCGTTGCCTATACCACCGTTATACGTATATTTAAATAAATAATAAAAATTGCATTGCAAAAAAAAGAGAAATAAAAATACGATTTATAAAACAATTCCTTTGAAAGCGAGAATTTCCCATCGCAAGATATTTCCAATTATTATTGGAACTTTGTTATTTTGTCGTACGTTCTTCTAGATCTTTAATCTAAATTCAGATTAGGGGTAATGCCCGGAAAAGATTAGACTTTATTAAAATTTAAAATTTTAATTAAATATCTATGAAATCTTCAAAGTCTGCAAAAAAATAATTTTAATTGTAAATGTCGTTAGCGCCGATTATTTGCAATCGAATTCAAAAGCAAGGTTATATTTACATCCAATATGCTAGATTGTATGTCAAATAAATGACGTATTTTCTAAAACGTGAAATTTAGGCGTATTGTATTGTACATATTGCCAAATTTGTAATCTTAAAAGAATACAGATAATCTATCATCAGTACGATATATTAATCAAATTTTATGACAGTTATAATTTATATTAGCCACCCACAACACACTTGATCCAGTCCAATGTATGAAAAACACAGATAATATTGTAAATTATTACTTAATTGGGAAAAGGACTTTGCACATTCTGAGTTGGACTATTTGAGGAAAAATAATAATTAATACACTATACATTATTGGTCTGTTCCCGTACTGCAAGAATCTACTACTTTTTACTACGATAACGAATTTTCCTTTATGATATCGAAGAAAATAGTAAAATCTAGTAGATTCTTGCAGTATGGGAACAGACCATATGTATACGTAAACCAACGCAAGTGAGGATTTTGTTTTAAATATTATTTTGAAGAGCCACATTTATTAACTGTTTACTTTTAATTGGGCGCCATATGTTACATATGAATGCAGGCGAATCACAACTATATGTTGGTGTTTTCTATAAAACGCAAATCCGAAAAAGTCATTGTAATTTTATGTATCTCAATAATCATGGCTACCATGATGCAGTAGGAATTTTTAATGTTATATCCTTTATCTCCTTTCCTGAGGGAGTCTGTCTCTTACCGGGCGAGTCCGGTTAGGGGAACGTGGATGATCACACTATTCTATTACAATCTGGATGTAATGGGATAAGTTGATCACCCACATTAGGATCTTGTCCCCGCTGGCCAAAACTCACTACGGAGGTGTTCCCCTAAAAAAACCCAAAAAATTGGAAGGAAATAAGGAGAATACACAGGGTGAGATAAAAAACTGCAACAAAGGCAAATGCCATAATTTTAATTATTTTATTTAAAGAAAGCAAAAAATGTCGGAAATAGCATCAAATTTTAGAATGAGTTTAGATTTGTTCGAATTGGTCACCTTTGGCACGAATTATGGCCTTCCAACGGCCAATGAAACCGTCACATGCTGAGCTCTGCGGTATTTTGTTTTATTCCCGGCGAGACGCTTGCTTGAGGTTAGTGCCAACCCTGCTTTCCAAAATACTCTAGACACAATAGCCCAACGGATTGGTATCCGAAGATTTTGGTGGCCATTCTGCGCTGGAAATGAAGCGAGGAACTGTATTTTGTGCTGAAATATTTGCGCGCCCAAGGCTTTAATACACCCTCCAGATATTTTCGTCCTTTCGATCAAGTCGCTTTTTTACTTTTCGAACTATTTCTGCTGATGCTGTTGTTGTCGTGACGCAAAAGGAAGAAACTGGCCAAGTAGAAACAATTGCGAACTGCAAACTGATGCTCAATGTCCATTTCAGCCCTTTTTCGGAAGCAGCGAAGATTTGCAGAAGAGCAGACGAATGTCAAAACGGCAAAAAAAGAAAATAGATTTTTGTATGAAACCTGAAGCCAATCCATCCACCGAGGGCTTCAAGGCTGGCTCTAATATCCAAAAGTCGAGCGCTGAATCGGAAGACTGGGAATCCCAAAAGGACCGTATTATGCTAAGTTTGCCAGGAGGTGCTACAGTGATGATTAGAGTATGTGGATACCTACCTAGCGGTCTTATCCCAGTTAGTACAAAGCGTCAACCAACACCCCCACCCCAGGTAGCAATCGACCACACGTATTTCGACGTGATCACCTCTTTAGTTGAGGAGCCGTTCCCATCTACAACTTTCTATAAATCAAACAAACGGTTGTAAGGCAACTCCACACAGAGCCGAAACTCTATCCACGACTTGGATATAAACCATATCCAGCACGATGCTCCCCGAAGGATCAACACTAACAGCCAGATAGATACCGAAACCTTCGGTCATGTTCACAGCCGTAGCTATTACCAGTAGAACTAATATTTTGCAGGCTCTCTACAATGGAACAATCACTGAATGGGGATAAAAAGCAAAAGTGGAGGCGCTAAAGAGAAGGGCTCTGATATACAGTGATCGACGATAGTAGTGCGTCCGGTAAACTGAAAAAGGAGACACACTAGGTGGTGATTTGATGCGATCAATAATAAGATCTTGATCACCTGCTGGCATGAAGGGACCCCATCGAACTGGACAGCTGCGTAATCGAAGGGGCATAACATAATGATTGAATTTGAATCTTAAAACTCGGAGAAAACTGGACAATCCTTAATTACAAAGGCCACTGTCGTCTATAGAGGTGACGATATCACGATAGAACGCTTGCTGGAATTCTTCGGTATACAGAACAAGCTGGTTAAGAAGTGGAAAGTCTTCCAAATGGTGAAGAATGAAGAGGGGACTCTCCAGGTGGTAGGTTTGGGTAGGTCTTCAATGGCAATTCTGGCTATGGGTAAGGCGGACAATGTGTTCAACATTGTCGACTCCAAAATTGGGAAGATAAGGATTGGAGAAGAAGAGGTAGAAAGTCCAGGCCTTTTTGGATTATATGAATACTAACGATATTATAACCCTTAATGTAGGCAATAATCCAACTTTTGTTAAAAAAATAGAGAAGAGTTTTTAGACAAAATAATTTGTTCAGCGAACCTAATGAGTCCAGAGGTCCAGGAATAAAAGTGAGAGAAAATTTGAAATCTCACGGCCACCACTGAAACTCATATACTTCCGAAACAAGTCCATGATAAAATGAATATAAGTTGGGAGGTTGATCAATCAACATAACTATGGCAGAAATGCAGGATCATATTTTGACAGATACCCAACTATTTTAGAGACCCTAGCTTTAAGTAATTTTTTCTCTTTCGAGTCGAGCTTAATAATCGAAGTTTAGCAATGAAATAATCCAGGGAAAGAACCTATGTACATACCATTATTATTAGGCACATTGGGCTATGTGGCTTTAAAAGGTCGTATGTAGCTTTATTTTTCGTTTTCTTAGAGTATAATAGTACGTTTACTTTTAACCGGATTTCGTTAACCAAGTGGGTTTCAATTGTCAATTCCTTTGCATATATGTCAAATAAATCCTCATAAAGTAGGTTAACCCGGTAAAAATTTCTAATGTATATGCCGTTTAACATATTATCCATAAATCCCAAAAATGTTGTTCGAGTTTCTAAAAAATACGCAATTATTTGACACCGTCATACCACCAATATATATTTCAGCATACTTTCATCTGAAATGGAGTTTTTGGTTTCTCACATATAATAATTATTTGTTACTGGGTTTACTAGAAATCGTTGCCTTTCCTTGAGGTGAAATATGTTTATACTATGTCTTCTAAATCCAATCAATTTGTAAATCCTAAAGCGCGTTTAGACATTGTCTTCTAAATGGACTAGATTTCTAAATCAATGTACTAAATCCTTTTTAGATTAGTATTACCCATGTCAGCTGATATTTTTTAACGCATACATCATTACTTCATTGAATTAATCTATTCATTGCCATTTGACATATTTAGGAGAAGTTTTAGATTAAAAACGGCTAATGCTTTTTGGTAAGGTCACTCAGAAAGCTCGCATCAGCTGCATTTCTCATGTCTAATGTCAAAAATGTTGACTTTTTTTACGTTTTCATAATGGAAGTCAATTCACAATAATGGGGTTTGACAGAAAACTTGAGAAGCAGCTGATCTTGTAGGATGTCATTAAAACAGCTTTGTATTTGATTTTAGGCAAATCAAAATAATTAGATAGTGTCTAAACGCGTTCTAATCTACCCCCACGTAACTTACAGAATAACTTTTTTAGGTTATAATAACCAAAAAACTTATCGATACAAAAACGTTTAGAAGACATTAATTGTTCATTTTTTACAAACATTCTTCTATAAAAGACTTCAACTTCATCTCTTCATATATATTTTATAAAAAATAAATAAAACTTATATAACTATTTAAAAATCTAAAGTAATCTATTAATTAAATATAACAACAACTAGTTCATTTGTCATAACAAAAATCTTAAAATTAAATACTGTTTACATCAGTTTCCGTTTCTTTTAATGAGACATCATTTGTTTGTTTTTTCATTTTTTGGTACATCATCACAGATCTTTGTTTTAAGCCATTTACATATTTACAGTGGACGGGGGAATTTGATTTGCATTTTTTTTAAAATCCATAAAAATTAATTTGATAACCGAAATTGGATGTTTTATTTGCAACCATCAGAATCTCGGCATACGATTGACGAATACCGCCACCAACGAAATATGCATCGGCCAGTGTCGATGAGATATAGGTGTAGATGGATACGTAACTAATGTAATAGCGACTCAAACCGCTAGCGGGATAACGTAAATATACTTCAACATCTTTGTTGCTGGTGTACTCGTCTTCATCCATAAATGTCAGAAGTAGTTGATCACCTGGAATGAGAGGAAAAAAGTTGTTAATAGGGAAGGGTGTTTTGATTTTTTTTTTAATTTTAATTTTATTTCTTTGGTTTAGTTATTCTAAAATTATTATTTTAATTACACCTCCTACTGTGTCATCGCCTTTTGTCTAACAAGAAACCGAACAATTTCATTTGCTGTTGCGACTTTTGTTTGAAAATTGTAAATAAACGCTGCGAATTGATAATTATTCTGTTTTTTTCATCTGTGCATCCGTGTAAATGTCGTATTCTTGGAATTTTAGAACATCGCAATTACGAAGTCAACACAGTACAAATTAATATACAAATGGGATATACTACCCATCAGCGTGACTTATTAAACTTTATGGTCTCCATATAGACCAATTGGTCTTTATAAAGACCTGTGGTCTCTATACAGACCAATTGGTCTTTATATGGTCTCTATACAGACCAATTGGTCTTTATAAAGACCTGTGGTCTCTATACAGACCAATTGGTCTTTATAAAGACCTGTGGTCTCTATACAGACCAATTGGTCTTTATAAAGACCTGTGGTCTCTATACAGACCAATTGGTCTTTATAAAGACCTGTGGTCTCTATACAGACCAATTGGTCTTTATAAAGACCTGTGGTCTCTATACAGACCAATTGGTCTTTATAAAGACCTGTGGTCTCTATACAGACCAATTGGTCTTTATAAAGACCTGTGGTCTCTATACAGACCAATTGGTCTTTATAAAGACCTGTGATCTCTATACAGACCAATTGGTCTTTATAAAGACCTGTGGTCTCTATACAGACCAATTGGTCTTTATAAAGACCTGTGGTCTCTATACAGACCAATTGGTATTTATAAAGACCTGTGGTCTCCATACAGACCAATTGGTCTTTATGAAGACCTTTGGTCTCTATACAGAACAATTGGTCTTTATAAAGACCTGTGGTCTCTGTACAGACCAATTTGTCTTCATGAAGACAAATTGGTCACCTCCCCACCTCTAACTCCCTTTCGTTCCACCCTATTATGTTTACGGAAAAAAGTCTGTGTATGTTTAATAATGCACACTTGCGTGTTATCTTCTTACTAGCTACCAATCTTTTCCTGTCTATCTTCTCACTTCTGTATCGCTCTGCTCGCCTCAACCTCTACCCAACGTCATAATTGGAAATGTAATGATGTATTACAGTTATGGAAAAATATTTACTTGTTTCGTAGCTATAGATAAAAAGAATCTCAGAAGCACTTAGAAAATGTTGTCAAAACTGTTGTAATTTTTTTTGTTCTGTTTTAAGGCCCCTGATATTTACAACCATGCCACCATCAACTTGTCGTATACACAGAACTTGACACCTTTTTTTTAAACTGGCAACATTTTTTTATTTTTTTATTTATGTCCATAATACCCTACTTTGGACAAGTGCTTTACACTTATCAGCTGGTCATTTGACGTAGATATTCTCACACACGCTCGGTGAATTATATCTAAATCGGTCGTCTGTGAACATAATTTATAGATGTTGACTCCGCGAGAACACACCAGAATTGTCGCAAAATAGGCGAAAAGTAAACAAAGATTTTAATTGTAATTCTACAAAAATAGGGCTATAATAATTTAATGTGTGTTTTTTTGTGATTAATATAAATATTTTTTAGGTTAGGTTTTAAATTGCGATTATAAAAACAGCTCCTGGGATTATAATTCATGTCGCCGTTGGAAAATATTTTATGAACAATAACAAATTATTATATATTTATATACTTCTGTTTTTAAAATAACTAAGTAGATATTTTAGGTTATAAATAATAAAGAACATTCGGAGATTGTAATGTTGTCTCCATGAGAACTAGTAGGTTCATGTTCAAATATTGTAAATACAAGAAAGAAAAAACTGTGTCAGATCCTAACCTTCCGCACTACGTATTCAACTATGCCATGCTAAATTTATATACATATCATGGTCGCATTTTTCCATGGCACAATTTTTTCATAAATTTGCTTTTGACAACATTCAGGTTTCAAAATTTAAACCAAAATATATTCCTTATTATATTTATAAATATTTTGAAGTTATCTGCCTCTAAAACTTATAAATAAATGATGTAACAACCATAGTTACATCTTGAGAGCAATGTTCAGTTTTATAAAAACTATTTTGTTTAATTAATTGAAAATATGCCAACCGACATACATAAAACCACCCACCTTAATCACCTGATTTAGCTCGCTGTGACTTTTACTTGTTCCCAAATCTAAAAAAATCCTTGATGGCAAGCGTTTCAAGACCTTGAGGATAACTATTTTAATCAAGGGACAGAATTGCTAGAAAAGCATTGGACTAAGTGTATTGAAATTTCAGGAATAAAAATATTTTTGAAAAACTAACTATTCTCTTTCATTGATAGGCTAAGAAGTTTCCAAACCGCCCTCGTAATTCTTCCGAAGATCTTGCTCTTCAAATTCTGTCTGAACCTACACTTATTTCGGGCAGTGTATATATGCATTAATTATTTGTTGTGACAAAACTCGATACGCGTATCTCCTTAATTATTTCTCACTTTCATGTCACACATTCCTATGATATGAGTTATATTTCTTTTAGTTGCACATCTTAGCATTAAAGTTTGATAACAAGAAATGCCATATGGTTATCTTCATATCTACTGTGAATATTTTTATTTTTACCACACCTAGCGTTTTTATAGTTTAGGAAGTTAGATGAATTAGAACAGCTGTTGATGCAATGAACTGTCTAGCTCAACGTGATGATGGATGTGTAAACAGTTGGGTTGTATTTCTGGATTTCGTTAAAAGCTGAATTATAGTACGTTTACATTGTATCGGATTTCTTAAACCGTTTAAATTGTCAATTTCATTGCATGTACGTCAAATAAATCATCATGAAGGTTAAACTGGTAAAAGTTGTAATGTAAATGCCGTTTTACATACAACTTAATAAAAGCCCACTCAGGGTTTATTTTGTTAAACGGTATTTACATTAGAATTTTTTACCAGGTTAACCTACTTTATGAGGAAGGAATTGACAATTTAAACCCACTGAGTTAACGAAGTCCAATACAATCTAAATGTACAATTAATCGTGCTGAATTTACCATGATCTATAAAATTTAAATATTTTACGGCATGAATTATTTTAAATATAAATGAAATCATGATAGCAATTTGATGCAACACAGCTTTTGTACGAAAAAATAAATAAAACTTTCAATTCCATTGTATATATGTCAAATAAATCCACATAAAGTAGGTTAAGAGTGCGTTTATACTACTAAATCCACTCGATTTCAAATGCCAATTCCATAATCCTGTGGCTTGTTCTATCAAATCAAAATAAATATGTTTGTATGTGTGTGTATTAGTTTGAATACCATCCATTTGTCCTGATTTAGGTTAGGCGAGTTTACTTGCGGCCATTTTTTTCCTTCTCTTTTGAACTTGTTTCATGCGTACATACAAGGCATTTCGGTTTCAAAAAAAATTTTATGTGTTGCAAATAATTTTTTCACATATAAAAAAATATAAAATGTCAACAAATACGAAATACACAAAACGAATTGCCAGAAAATTGTCGGTACGAGCAATTTTTTTTTTTCATTTCTATACCCCTTGCCCCTCTCTCCTACAAACAAAGACTTGCCGCAAGTAAACTCGCCTAATCTAAATTGGGACTAAGAGCAATTTTTTCATTTCTATTCCTTTTGCCCCTCTCTCCTACAAACCAAGACTTGCCGCAAGTAAACTCGCCTAATCTAAATTGGGACTCTCAAATAAAAATGAAATATTCAAATTTAATTAAAAAAAATGGTCTGTTCCCGTACTGCAAGAATCAGCTAGTTTTTACTATTTTCTTCGATATCATAAAGGAAAAATTATTATCGTAGTATACAATTTTACATTCTTGAAGGTTCTGGAAAAGAAAAAAAATTGTTTATTGCATTCGTCTGAAAGTAATAATTTTGTTATGGAGGAAATTAACATTTTATGGTTTTCCCTACTGTATTTTGGAAAGAAATCATAAACTTTAATTCATTTTTCGCAGTTTTTCTTATGTGTTGAAAATGGCAAATAAATACAATCACTTGTTGCTTATGATTTTTATATTTGACAGAGGAAGCCACTGTCTACAGAGTTGCTTTTGTGTTATTCACCTCAATTTGTCCTTGTATTTATGGCACAATATATAGTTCATTTAGCGAATTCAAGTACATTAACTTGTACTTGAATTCGATGTGCAATGTCGCCAACCATGTGAAATATTATAAGGCAAATTTTGACAGATGGTCGAGACAAAAACAAAAGTTATTGCATAATGCTTGTATAATTGTACCATGGGAAAACGCAAACGAGCGCAAAAGTCGATTTTTAGACTTTTCGATTTTTGCCTTTGACTAAAATCATGGCACAATGAATAGGTAGTCCATTTAGCGCAGCTGATGTCTCGATTAACTGTCAAAGTGGGTAATTTCTACTTGAATTCGATGTGCAGTGTTGCCAACCATTTGAAATATTATAAGGAAAAATTTGACAGATAATCGAGACAAAAACAAAGGGTTTTGTTTTGATACATCACCTTATTATTGCATCATTACTAAAATGTTGGCTTTTCAATCTTTTGATTTTATCGAACCTGTTCAAAATCGATTTTCAACTTTTACCGGCTAATGCAAAATCGACAAATTTTTTTTAATTTTTTTTTTTAGAATATTATTTTAAACGTTTTTACTATTGACCTGTTCCATAACCTGCAAGAATATAAAATTTTTTACTACGATAACAATTTTTCCTTTATGATATCGGAAAAAAATTTTGATTCTTACGGGAACAGGCCATAGTTCTTTTTAAATAGTTTTTAAAATTTCAGGTCATGGTACAATTATTAAAGGTAACAGCAAATCCCAGCTGATTTAATTCCAACGTAATACTAGTGTCAATATGAATATGACAAATCATGTTTTTAAAAATCACCCAACAGGAAAATTGCGAAAACATACAATTTGAAATTTTTCTTTATTAAATGTCCTCCCGTATTCAATTTACCTAATCTGGCTGCTGGGAAAGTTTGAGGAAGCAAATCTTTCTTGGAGTCTGGGATAATAAATTGGTAAGTATCTGAAAAATGTTTCTGCTTGGATCCATGGTATAGTTATTACAAGGTACAGCACAGCTACCAACTTTTTCTCAAGGTGGCTTTTTCAATCAAATCAAAATACATATTTTGTGTATGTGTGTGTATTGTTTTGAATACAATGTCAAATAAATTGAAATATATTCAAGTTTAATTGAAATGAAAATAAATTTTTTAACACGTACGTCTGAAAGTAATTATCTTGTTATGGATGAAACAAACATTTTATGGTATTCCCTATGGGATTTTGGGAAGAAATCATAACCTTTCATTCATTTTTCGCGTTTTTAGTTTTGTGTTGAAAAAATGTCAAATAAACACAAACACTTGTTGTGTATATTTATTTTATTTTTGGCAGAAGAGGCCACACGTACATAGTTGTTTTTTTATTATTCACCTCAAGCTCCCTACCTTGTATTATTGTACCATGCTTGGATCCCACATTAATTTTTTTTTTTTTTTTTTTTTGAAAGCTTGTAAAATGGGAAACACATAAGAGGATTCAGGCTTGACATGTTAAGTTGGCTTTGTATGAAAGGGAGGTTATTTCTGGGACTTTATTTTCGAGTTTTCAGAAGCCTTATAAAAATCCTAGAAAGACGAACGAAGTGCGGATTTTTTATGAATATTTTATATGTTTTGTCAATTTCTGTGTACGGAACACATTCGCATATTACCTTCTTCGAGATTTTAAATTGGAAAGTATCGGAAAAATGTTTCTTCACGCATCACACATTGATTTTTTGCAAGTTTCTAACGAAGGAGTTAAATAGATTCCTAATGTCAAATCTAAGGATGACGAATTGGAAATTATAATATGTTCAGTGTGAAGACATGTTAAGTTTACATTTTTTAAAATATTTTTTGTTTAAACTTTCAGAAGCGAAGATATTTAAAATGTTTTTTTTTACTTTCAGAAGCGATATTTTTTCTGGATTTTTTAACTTTTAGAAGAGAGTTTGTTTTTTTTAATTTTCCTTTAAATATTTATCAAAAGTCCTAATTTTGAAATCACCACAGATTAATTGTCACAACACTTCAGAAAGATATTCTCGATACCCGATGATATCTCTTAACAATAACAGGAAGAGTAATTATTGTATAATATAATCAATTAATTGGAACGCACAGATAATTATGTTCAAGTGAGTTGTTTTTTAATCTTGTAAGGAAATTGTTGTAAAAAATTGAAAAAAAAATCTTTACGACATTTACCGTCGATACGTTCGCCGCATGTAAAAATAACATTTCCCTTGGCGTAATATTCCTTGTTGAAGACAATTGGTTTAACATCCGGGTGCTGGCTGAAATAGCGTGTTTCATTTGTAACCGTTACAATGCCGCTGTGTTGGATATCGGCCGACGAAACATTTGTTATGAAAATTCCGCTACCGGTTAGGGCAACAACGAATGTAATTATGAACGCCCGCGAAAGCATATTTTTTCTTATTTTTTTCTTCTTCTTTTGTAATTGTTCACTAGAAAATTTCGAGAGAGTGTTAGATCTTTTCACGCTTATGTCCCGAGAACGATTGAATTCGTCGAATGGCAGAAATATGGTTTTTATATTTTCGAACAAAAATACGAAAAACTATACGATCGATGAAGACGAATACGAAAACGACAATAACGAAATCGACGACGTCGTTTAGCCCATTATGGCCGATAAACGACGTTATCTCGGGTCTTAAAGCGCCATTAATTGTGATTGTGTGTTGAGGTGGTGGTGGTGCTGGAGGAGCAGTTATATTCCCACCGCAAAAAAAAAAGAGCTTTAACAAATTTTGTAGTATACTGTGGGGGTATATCTGTCACATATCTCTCTCTGGGAGGCTTATCGATGTGTCTTGAAAATTTGCCACGGGTCTTATATCAATATCTATCTGCCTCGCTTAACAAGTGTTTGTGAAAAAACAATATTTGTTACGCTTTGTTTTTTTATTCACTTGCTGATTATAGTGAAAGTTAATGTCATTCAAGTAAATGAAGAAAAGTGACTCAAGACGTCACTACAAAATAATAAATTTTTTACTATTTAAGTTTTGTAAACAAAATTGTCATTGACAACTATTATACTAATGAATTTATAATTGTCCGCCACAGTTTATAGATATAGGAGAAATAGGCCAAACAATAAATAACGCCATATCTTTAGTACCAGGTACATATGTACGTGCGTATTTTTGACAATTGTAATTTGATTGGTTTAAAATTTATAATTATCTTGATCCGTAGTTTATCTTAAGTGTGTCTGCGCTTTCTTTTAGAGATTAGCCCTGGTCAGTCAGCTGACCAGCACAATAAAATTATTAAAATGTGATTATTTTTTGAAACACAGAACATATCGAGAGCTTTTGACGCCTAATTGGCTGAGTACTTTTCGTAGTTTGGCGATATGATCAATAGTTAAAATTTGTATTCAATCCTATTTTAAAATTTGTATGAAAACTGCAAAATATTCCAATATAATGAGCGGGAAGTAACTGGCATCTTCCTCGGGAAAGTTGAAAAAGTGTGCAACCAACCATGGCATTACAAATAGGTAGTCCATCTAGCGCAGCTGACTATTCGATTAATTGTGAAAGTGCACAGTTTCTACCAATATCTATTAATAAGGTCACCCAGCTAGCGAAAGTCAACTGTTTTTTCTCAAGTCTAATGCCAAAAATTTGGCCATTACGTTCTCATAATGGAAGTCAATTCACAATAATGGATTTTGACATGGCACAACTCATGACACAATGAATAGGTAGTCCATTTAGCGCAGCTGATGTCTCGATTAAATGTCAAAGTGGGCAATTTCTACTTGAATTCGATGTGTAGTGTTGCCAACCATTTGAAATAATATAAGGAAAATTTTGACAGATAATCGAGACAAAAACAAACCTTTTTGTTTTGATACGTCACCTTATTATTGCATCATGGCACAACTATACAAGGTATTCTAATGCTGTCATATATTTCAAATTTTTTAATAAATTTGCTTTTGACTACATTCAGCTTTCAAAAAACGAAAATATCTTCCTTCGAAATGTACGCAAATCTTGTGTCCAGTGGCAATAATTTTTGAATCATTTATATTTATTAATAATTTAAGGTTCCCTGCCAATAAAACCTATAAATTGCAACATTCTTAGTTAAATTTTGAGAACACTGTGGAACTTTGGGAAAAAATATTTTTTTTTAATTTGTTGAAAATTTGCCAATCTATAAGTTATTGCCTTATAGAATTTCACATGGTTGGCAACATTGCAACATCACAGCTGATGTCTCGATTAACTGTCAAAGCAGGCAATTTCTACCTGAATTCGATGTGCAGTGTTGCCAACCATGTGAAATAATATAAGCAAAAATTTAACAGATGGTCGAGACAAAAACAAATGTTTTTATTTTAATACATCACCTTATTATTGCATCCTGGTCTCGACCATCTTGAGATTTTTTGCGTAAAGAATTTCACATGGTTGGCAATATTGCATGGTAGAAACCACGATGCAATAATAAGGTGATGTATCAAAACAAAAACATTTGTTTTTGTCTCGACCATCTGTCAAATTTTTCCATATATAATTTCACATGGTTGGCAACATTGCACATCGAATTCAAGTAGAAATTACGCACTTTGACAGTTATGTCAATGTTGCCAACCATGTGAAATAATATAGGGAAATTTTTGATAGATTGTCGAGAAAAACACCAATGTTTTTGTTTTGATACATCACCTTGTTATCGTTTATTATGGTTTCTATTTGAATTCAATGTGCAATATTGCCATGAGAAATATATCTAGATAGAATTTGACAGATGATCGAATAAAAAACAGATGTTTTTGTTTTGATACATTACCTTATCATTGCGTAACATAGCCGGTATTACCCTCTAAAATACAGGCAGCTTTGTGATTATAAACTGGAAACTGGTAATAAATTTTGCATTCGACTTTTAAGCCGCGAGGACTTTGTAAACCTCATTCATATACAACTATTTACTCTGAAGGTGTGTGGTAAAATTTATGAAATCATATCATTGATGGTTTTGAGTAGATTGACGATGGCTACACAAATTCAACGAAGACCTGCGAGATCACATTCGATTTTGTATTGAAGTCATATGATCTTATCTGCGATAAATTTACAGGTAGGAATATCGTCCATATCTTTGAAGCTTTTCAATTTTGTCATTTCCGAGATGGCATGGCGATCGTTAGAATGCGAATGATTGTACTATTATGGGGCCTAATATCAACAATTTGAAGCAGAAATATATAAAATCTACCCTTAATTGGTTGATTCACGAAGTTAAAGCCAATACGCTTATAGCGCCTAATATCAATTACCTAGTAGCCTTCTTCTACGTGGGAAATATGAAAATACCCGCACATGTCATATTCGATAGGAAGTTAAAGTTAGAATGCTAATGGTACCCATTCAAGAAATCTACAGTCATATTGTCAACCTCATCGATTGTCACTGAATGAGCAGATCGATGACATTTAAACTCCGACAGCCAAATAGTCCAAGAGCTTAAGCGTACGCTACAACAATGCGCAATAAATTAGTAGCAATGTCCGTTACTTCATTACTTTTAATCTGTATCTTTCTTGTGTCTTCGGTTTCCAGATGAAATGACAATCGTTGCGTATGTGGATGGGTATACGAAAATGGCGCCCAATCTTAAATCATCCTTCCACGCGAGGAATATGAAAGTATTCAGTCACACTATTGACTGCCACTAAGTGTGCAAGCAAATGTCCATAAATTTCTGTCAACAAATTACACCCACAATTACGAGTTTGAAGTATCCCGCACAAACTATAGTTATCTTCGGTAACCTAAATCCTCGGAATAAAGGCCCTTGTTGGGCGCCAGATGGCATATAATAGAGTCTCGCAATTGACAAACTAAAACCATTTGAATACAGACCTCCAATTTAAAATCAGAGGCCACCAATTCGGTACGATACTCTAGTTAGGGCCAACAGACATAGTAAAAGTCACACGAGCAACAAACATGAAGTACTCATAATTATATCGGTCTCGGTCGGTCTCGCAGGTTAAACATTATCGCTCAGAATAGTATACCTATTGGGCGCCACTACGTTAGGATGGATTTAACCATAATTTATTGTTAAAATTTATGGTAAAATCCACCTTATTCTATTCAACTTAACCTGAAATGTTATAAAAACGTGTTTCGCCGAACCATTAATCATCAAGCATTAACCTTTCGTTTTATTCTTGAGAAATTTTAATAATTTCTCTTTTATGTTATTATTTTGGATATACGAATAATTTGGGCAATAAAGATTACACAAATATCCAAAATTTAAAGAAAAAGTAAACAAAAACATTTTCTGGAATTCCCAAATTGTCGCGAAAAAAGATTGGTGGTATTATATATTTTTATAGCCCCCTAATAACTATTTTCAAATGAATGGACTGAGAACATATTAATCACACGTTTATTAGATTAATATGGCGCGATTTTATAATTTTTCAGGTGTTTATTTGGCTTTGCTTTCTTTCGACGCTCACGATAACGATTATCAAAAGTGTAACACTGTTTATCAGTTAAAAGAAAAATATTTTTTTTAATTGATTTTAATCAGAAACACTGTGTCTCCCCTATTAACTAATTTATTTCTTTTTTTGTGGGAGTTATATTTTTTACTCACACGACAATTAAAGCCATGACACATTTTTTTCCATTCGAATGTGCCGGTTTTATAACCGAATTTACAATTGGGTAAACCAGGGAAATTTTTGAATTGTATATGCATGGATTTTGTGGGCCATGTAATATCACAAAATGTTGGGCGCCATTTTCAATCGGAGACTAAACCAGAACAGGTTCCCGTCAAACAGTCCACACTTTTGGAGAAGGTTGAACCCTTCTGAGAGCAAAATATTTCGACGACAAAGTTGGGCGCCATTTTCAGCCGAAAATTAAACCAAAACAGGTCGTGGAAATAAGCCACTGAAAGGCGTGGATTTTTTAAAGAATATTTTTTTTCAAGACCTCTGAAAGGCGTGGATTTTTTAAAGAATATTTTTTCACGACCACCGAAAGGCGTGGATTTTTTAAAGAATAGTTTTTCAAGACCTCTGAAAGACGTGGATTTTTTAAAGAATATTTTTTCAATCCCTCCGAAAGGCGTGGATTTTTTAAAGAATATTTTTCAAGACCTCCGAAAGACGTGGATTTTTTAAAGAATATTTTTTCAAGACCTCCGAAAGGCGTGGTTTTTTTAAAGAATATTTTTTCAAGACCTCCGAAAGGCGTGGATTTTTTAAAGAATATTTTTTCAAGACCTCCGAAAGGCGTGGATTTTTTAAAGAATATTTTTTCAAGACCTCCGAAAGGCGTGGATTTTTTAAAGAATATTTTTTCAAGACCTCCGAAAGGCGTGGATTTTTTAAAGAATATTTTTTCAAGACCT